TTTTTTTTGTTGTTGTTGTGTGGTGGTGTGTGTTTTTTTTTTTTTTTTTCTCTTGTTCACTTAATTGTAAGAACAGATGGTTTTAACTGGTTTTACAGTTTCACCAGGCTCTCTAAGTGCTCCCACCAAGAACATTCTTTTTCCCCCATGCTGCAGTTGGGGCAATGCCTTAGTTCTCCCCAGGACTGTATTTGCAAGGGCCTGTTGTACACAGAGGACTGCAAACCAGAGATACCTTCTGCCCTTTAAAGTTTGAGATCTGACACTGTGACGTGGCAGGGGAAACCTTGAGATTGTGTGGACTGAATTCTGTCCATTCAGGGTTTTTTGCCTTACAAATAGTCCCATTCCCGAGCGGAGCAGACTCGGCAGCACCTCCGAGCTGCTTGCGCCCTCCTGTGTCGCGAGGGGCTGTCTGCCTCGGCCGTGCTTGGCTGTGCATCAGATGTACACAGAGCTGGTTGGTGCCCTGTTGTTGCAACAGCAGCTTCTCTTCAGGCACCAACTTTATTCTGAAAGTTTGCTCTGTAGCTTGGGAAACGATAAAAATGGCTTGCCTTTCAGGGGAAGGGGAAATAAAACCAGAAAAATGTGAAATTATTCTTAAAAAAATGTTTATTTGCTTAGTTGTATATTAAGATATGAGAGATATAGTAGCAATAGAGATTTTTGCTAGTTTTGGTTGTAAAAATGTCTGACATAATTTCTAGTTTCATTTAAGATGATTTTCTTGTCTCATTTGAGCATATAATATGTACATATCTTCTAACGAAAGTTTTCAAATAAACCTGAGCTCTTGCTATAACAAGGCTGGTTTTATAGATAAGAATTACTTTTTCTTTTAAAGTTCCCATATGTGGATCTATTACAGAAATGTCTATTCTCTCCTATCTTTAGAAATTAATTGATACTTTAAAACTACAGATAGTTACTCTAAAATAAACATTTCACTAAATTATCACTAACCTGTAAATCCAGGAAGAAGAGTATCCACCACGGGATGATTTCAGTGATGCAGATCAGCTTAGAGTGGGCAATGATGGCATCTTCATGTTGGCATTTTTCAGTAAGTTATCTTACACCCCAGACCTACTGAGGTATATCTTAATTGTACCTTGTTTATATGGACAATAAGAGATAGTTGTGATAAACTGCAATAATTTACTGTTTACATTGGATTATTTCTTATCTGTATGCGGATATAAGCACTTAATGTTCTAGAAGCAGCAAGTTTTGTTCAGTTGTCAGGCTGCTATCAGATAAGGGGACACAACAAGATTACAGTAAGTGTTGTGAGGCATCACGAGACTGTAACCTGTGGATTTGGGCAGTTCTGTTCTCTCTAGGACAACCAATTTCAATTAAAAGCTGGATTAGAAACTGACTGTCAGATTTAACTTAGAAGGAATTGGAGAGGGAACACAATGTGCCATATGAGGTTGCTTTTGTTGATGTGCTGTGGCTGGGTTTGTTCTACATATTTGTTTATCTCCAGGGTGAACTAGCCACTAGTATACAAAATATACAGTCTTCATGGGATTTCAGATTGTCACCAACACTGCTTTAGCACTCAGAGCCCTGTRTGAACAGGATGTGCACGTCCTACCTTCTAACTTGAGCCTGCACTGAGGAAAATTGGATATATCCACTGTAAGCTATTTCTAGAAAGTATCTGCCTCCATTTTCCCAATTATGTATTTAACTTCTGAAGACATTTCCTTTTTCCAAACTAAAGCTACATTTTGAGACCTGTTTGAAAATTTCTTGTCGAAGCTGGAACTGTCCTTTTGAGCTTTCATTGGGATGAAAGGCGACTGACATCCGGTGAAGCCCTCTTTCTGTCATCAGCTTTGATTTCATCCTCGTTGCAGTCTTTGTTGAGTTGTTGCAGATGCAGCATTAGAGCTCTCACAAAAGCTTTTTCCTTGTTATTAGAACATATTTGGACAGTTTGGGGTTTGCACCTTGGCCTACAAAGGTACGTGGCCAACTTTTTAAGCAAATGCAGAGAGAGAGAAAGGAAAGGAGCTCCTAGTCTGACCTCTTTGTAGTTTGTATCAATTTAAAAACAAAAAAATAAGTATGTTTTGGGGGGGAAAGGGGAGGCTTTGGTTTTCTTGGTTTCTTCTCTKCCCAGTCCATTTGCTACAACATTTTGTATCCAACCTGTAGGAGTTCTGTGTTGTATGAACTTGTTGGTGTTTCTAGAGGCTACTTCAGGCCTTGACCTTCTCTTGGAGGACGAGCAGTTGTCAGCAGTGAAAATCCAAGCAAAGATCTTGGCTTCTATGATATCTCGGTTCTTAATCTCAGCTGAAAACAGCCTTGTTTGCTTACATGTAGGAGCAGACAGGCAATAAACAGTATTCTGTGCACAAGCTGAATACAGGAAAGCGAAGGCTCTAGCTATATACAAATATGTTTGGCCAAACYGCATGCCTAGAGCCATTGTGCAGAGCTGAAGAATGGAGAAGTTTACTCGGATAAACTGGCTTTTTTTTTTTTGGCTTAGCCAGTTAACTGAGACTGCCCAGAGCACTTCTCATATTTGTCAAGAATTCTCTATAGATGAAATTTTTCCTCGATTATTCTGAGACTATCTGACTATGCAGCTTTGCTCTGCACTCCTTTGAATTAAATGCATAAAATGAGCAAGCTTTCAAATTTAAATATTTGCACTATTATCTTGCAATGTATGTGCTTTATTAGGGCCCATGTGGCYGTCAGTGAAACCAGCTACACACGGAAATTGAGATTTTGCTCCCTGAGAATCTGCAGTGAGTTGTCTCCTGCAGTTGCAATGCAGGATACCACTGTCAGGAGCTGTGTTTTTGTCACAGGGTCGCCTAAAGAGTGAGCAGTTGTAAATTCAGTTGCCCACCTCCTCTTTATCTACCACATATAGCATTTGTAGAAAGACTCCATAGCTAATGAGGGAGGGAAAGAAGGACCTCTTTTGCCATAATTTTAAGTGCAAAACAGTGCAGTGTTTTTTGAAATATAAATATAAATTGTATATATATGTTTTAGTTAATTCTGCTGAAATATAATAAAGTTTTTGCTGCTTGGTTCATTGCTATCAACTAATTATCATGACCCACCATCTAGTGGTAGCTGCCGAAACTGCAACAAATTGTGGCCTGTGGCCATCTAGTGGCCAGGGCTGGGACTTTTTTTTGTGTGTGTGATTCTTACTGGGGAACTAATTAAAAATAATTTAAGAAATCCCTCGGGAAGTAACCCTCGGTGGGCCCAAACTCTGAACTTGTTTCCTATTTAGGTATGAACTAGATGAACTAGAACTGCTGTGATTAGCCTAACTGTAGAGAATGGGTTTTGACAGTCAAAAGAAGAAACCCCCATCATGTGAACAGGTGTCTTTAATGTTTTGGAGTTTGCAAAACGAGTTTTAATTTTGGGGTATTTTTGCTTTGGCATTCAAGTCAGAAATAGTGAGGGGGGGGAAAAAAGAAAGCAAAGAAGTATAAATAAAGTAGCTCATTGCCACTGTGTAGCAAAATCACATACTTCAAAAATCATTCTTGCTTTTGAAGTCTTTGGTAGTGTGGGTGGGTGAGGAATCTGTTGCCTGCCCATTCCCACCTTAAAGGAATATATTAGATCAAAGAAACCATTAGGTTATCCTAACACTTAAAATTTGTGTGTAATGTATTTTGAAGTGAGATGTGCCATATACATCACAGGATAAACTTTTCAGAATGCAATAGGAAGTGCTTAGTAGATAACTTCATTGGAAATAGTGGCTTTTTATAAGCAAAATAGCAAAGGAGGAAAGTTAGGTTTTTTTCCTTCTCCATTTTGTACACAGCTCTAGTGGGACGTAGCAAGTAACTGTCCTGCTCAAGTGAATTTAATGGGATTTTATTTATTATTTATTCGTCCATTATTTCCATAATGGAAATCTTCAAATCATGTCTGATTTGCTGCTGGTTCAGCTGATGATTGGTTCATCCTGCTCCTTTATGGAAAGGGGATTCCCTAAAGCAGTGCTCAAAGGGCTGATTTTCTTTTATATATGAGTGTATTAGAATATAAACCAGGCTTTTCACCTGTGGATCCCAGAAAGATTGCAGAATTTTTCTGTATTTTTGAAGTGACAGATACTTTTGGGATCTTCAAAGCTAAGATCATCTCCCCATATCCTGAAACAATGAATATTAATTTGACTCTCTCAAAAAAATTAATCCTGAGTAAGAAGAAAAGAGAGGAGATGACATTTTGATGAGTCAGGTGTAGTTTTAGTTCTCAGGTGGAGAACTAAACTGCAACATGTATAACTGTAACAACAATTCACACCAGCAATATTCCCAACGTGGAGAAGCAGTACTGTGCGTTCCATCCAGTGCCATGTAGAAACAGATAACATGTACAGCAAAGTGTGAAATTAGCTTGCAAACTATTTTTCAAAGTGAGTAGGTGTTTCAGTCAACAAAGGCTGTACAAACCAGGGCATCTACTTGAAGCTTTGATATATATCAATAGGTCTTCTGATACTCCTCTGCAGGAGCTGCAGGGAAGTTATTTAACCAAAAGTGCTTTTGGTGGTAGGAGGAGATTAGGGAGGTGCTTGGGAAGCCCAGCTGCCCCTTATGCCAAGTAACAGAATCACAGGATGGTTAAGGTCGGAAGGGACCTCTAGAGATGATCTAGTCCAACCTTCCTGCTCCAGCAGGGACACCCAGAGCACGGGGCACAGGGCGGCATCCAGGTGGGTTTTGGAGACCTCCAGAGAAGGAGACTCCACAGCCTCCCTGGGCAGCCTGTGCCAGGGCTCTGGCACCCTCACAAGAAAGTTCTTCCTCATATGGAAATGAAATTTCCTGTGTTTCAACTTACACAAGTTGAAGAACTTCTTACAACAAGTTGCCCCTTGTCCTGTCACTGACATTTGTCACCTCAATTCTTACTTTTTGCAGAAAGAAATTGAATTTCTCTGTGTGTGTCGGATGTAATAAGAGTAATTGGAATGAGGAAACTTCCAATTGGGCTTTAAGGAGGGGGTGAAAAAAAATATCCTCAAGGGTAGTGAGGCCCTGGAAGTAAAATGCATATGGRAGTTTTAGAGCATTCTTGGCTGAGCAGGAAACCAAATTAGACCCTCTCAGGAACAGCAGCATACGTGCAGGTGATGCTGCCCTCAAACAGTGAAAGGAAACACGTGACCTCTAGGGAACCCCTCTCTGCCCTGTTTTCTCCGGCTTAGCTGCCTCCCCCTTATTTTGGTCTTGTCATATCACCGCAGCTTTATTAAACATGTGTTTTCTAGTGAGAGCTTTTTATTAACCTATTTGGGGGTGTTTCAAGAAGAACAATCCTGACTGTTCAAGATTTTCATTCAACTTGAGAATAGTCAGAGACACATAGTGCTGTTCCAAGGCTGATGGATACAAAGTAGGTGAATGGAAAGAAGTTACAGCACTTTATATCCAGTCTTTTCACATGCTGTTAATGACACAGGATTTGGGAAAGAAGCATCCTGTTTCCTCAGCATTTTCTGATCCTTTTCTGATCTTTCTTTCAGAAAAGATAAACTGTGCTTTCTGTGACTGAAAGCAAGTAGCTTGTATTTCTTTTGAGCACTTAAGCTCAAAAGCACTTGAGAATCTTCAAAGCACTTAAGAATCTGACATTTTCGCACAGAAAAGTAACATGTGTTTTCCAATTAAAAAGTTCAATTAAACAGCTGTTTCCTGTACAGAGTTGCTGTTTGAATATTTTGCTTCTCCTTCGCTTTTCCCATTCATAGATGCATGTTTGTGCACTGCTGCCTCTCAGAAAAGTTTCAAGTGTAGAAAGAGCTCATGAGTAGCCTTATTTCAACAGACTGTTTAGAGTATTTCCTTATTTCCAAACTATGCATGTTAGATTTATAACATTTGTAATATTTTATTGAAAACTGTAAAAAGAAATAGGACACACACAATTATTGTGACCACCTCATTAGATATCAAGAGCTTTTAAATAATTTAATCCTCTGGTCCATTTTGTGCCACCTCATCCCCAAGCAGCTCCTTCCCCCCTGTTCTTTCTGAGCCCTGCACTCCCGATGGCTGCCTTCCCAATATGTGGGTTACGTTAATATAGATTCATGCATGTGTATGCTCTTAAAACAAACATCCAAATAAAGACAAAAAGCAACGTCTCCATCTCCTGCTGAATGTAGAGCTGAAGGGCTAACTCCTTGCAGTCYGCCTTGGCTGCGTGGTGCTGAGAAGTGCAGAAGCAGAGCGAGGAGGTGGTTCCATTGCACTCGAGGCACGTTTCAACTAAACGCCCTATGTTTCCTATAGGAAAGAGGACAGTCGTTGAAGGCTGCAGCAACACTATGAGCACAAAGACTGGTCATCTCTGGGACAGAAAAACGATCCTTGTTGAAAATTCTTAATCTTAGAGGAAGAATTTAAAAAGAAATCAAATGTAAGATGTGATTGTGCAAAGAAGATGAGCAAACAGAAGCAAAGAATGTTATTAAACTAAAGCAAAGGTGTGAGTGCAGCAGCTCTTCAGGCTTTAGCTTTTCTGAGAGAATGATAGTCTTTACGATAACCTGCATTAGTGGTTGATCAGGAATATTTTCTGTGTGAGAATTTATTGACAAGTGTAAGTGGTGTGAAGGAAAGCTGAAGAGGATCTTGACATTTGGAGTCAATGCTGACCAGAAGTGAAAGGACTGTGTTTACAGCAGCACGAATGAAGCACAGCTACAACTCATCTCTACATAGTAAATACGTATTTAATTTTACTAATTGCTCCATGTAGCTAGTCCCCTTCCTTTTTCTTTATATAGGGTTGAAAATGATGGACCCCTTTTATTCCCATAATGTCTCAAGGCTTTGGGCAGAGAGGAGTTGCACAAACTATTTTTGGTTGTTCTTACCAGATGCAGCGTGGGCCACAGAGCTGAGGGAACTTGTGTGATTGACAGCGTGTTCCCTCCCAAGATATTCTGATGGAAGAAGATACAGAGAGAGGGAAAGCAGTTGGAAAATAGATAAAAATTCCATTTGATCCAGACAGCTCAGAAGCTGGAGATGCATTTGTGACAGGAAAGTGAATTTTGTTACCACAATCAGACAATTGAGATGATCTGTAGCAGAGTAGCAGTAGGATACTGAGCAGATGAGCTGAAGCACTGGGAAGAATGGATTTTCATGTAGAGTAGACTAAGTCCATCTGACATAGTGGAGAATCTTCCTAAAATTGTGATTTAGGGTTAGTAGAGACAGAAGTAGTAAGTCTCTCATTGCTGCATTTTGATCAGTACCCACAGCAGAATTTTTCTAGTGGAAAGATACAAAAAGAAGCTTAAATATTGATATTTTTCTTGCTTATAACTCAGAAAAAGGCAGAGTAGTAAATTGCTGTGTTGTTACACAGCAATAGAGACACAGCAAAGAAAACCAACTACTGGGGCTTGTAAAAACGAGCAGTAGGATGGGCTTAGAGAGCTTGCTGGGAAAAAAAGAAAGAAATCCTACTTTCTTAAATATAAATGTTGTTCTCTTTTGTAGAAATCTCTATGTACAAAGTTCTCTTATTAATAGAATAGCTGCTCCCCACTTGTCTGTCTGTGTATATTTACAATTTTTATTTTTCATTTATTTTAAGTTGCCTTTGTTTACTGTGCCAGGAACGTCGCCTAATGGGGATTCCCACATTTTGATCTTACTACTCGAGCTGCAGCCAATACAGATGTTGCTTATTTGCCAGCTACGTGTACAGATGTGAAAACCTAAATTGCAAAACTAGGAATTGTGCAAGGTCGTTACTGAGACAGCAGAAGTAGTAATGCGCTGTGTCCTCCACTTACTTCATTTCTTGTGTTTTTGTGCAAGATGACTAAGGTTTCTAAGAGTAGGTGTTTGGATGTAGATCTTGTAAAGGAGAAGACCTTGTAAGGAGAAGTAACCAGTGAAACGTCAGCTTCTGACCTTGCCTTCCTTTCTATAATATGTCTGCAGAACAAGATCAGATACTTTCCTTCTGTGCTATCCATACTGGGTCAAACTGATACTCAGCCTTATTGTATGAACACATCTATTCATAACAACTATGTTCTTGTCTATAAAAATGTAGCAACATTTTTTTTCTTTAAGCCAGATCTTGTGTGCTGTCCTTTGCTTGCATTACCCTTCCTCTCTAGTTTCATTTAGTCAGATTCCAGTAGTGATGTAGTACTTTATTTTTGAAATGTTCTCATTTAAAGCAGTAGATTCCAACCTCTTTGTCATTTGCTTTATTTTTAAGTGAATATACCATTGGGAATGTCTGGATTAAGCTAAGTTTCTGAAAGCTTGAATTATTAGAAGGGAACTTCAGACTGCGTAACCATATCCTTATTAGTTTGTAAGTGAAATTAAGTGTTTGCCTAGCTATGCACATTAACAGAAGTGATTGTTTCTTTTATTTTATAGTGGCATTTATTTTCAACTGGATTGGATTTTGTTTATCCTTCTGTATAACAAATACCATAGCTGGAAGGTATGGTGCGATCTGTGGATTTGGTCTCTCACTGATCAAATGGATTTTCATTGTACGGGTATGTTTCCTGATTTATACTCTATGGGCTTTTCTTGTCTGTAGATCTAAAGCAAAGCAATTTATTTAAAAATAGATAATAGTTTAAAATGCCTAGAATTTGCTCTAACTTTCGATTTCAGTAGGGAATATTCTTTTTATATGTTCTTTACTAATGAAATGTAGGCTATTTTTATCCAATTTATTGTTTTACATTCCCATTTCTCCTAGAATAAATGGGAAGTAACTAGTTCTTTGAACAGCTGTTAAAAACCATAGAGGAGAAAATGGAGAAAGTTCTAAAAAGGTTTTGTACAACTCAGAAATACTTTCCTATGTGAACAACTGTGAATGGCTCTGCCTATCAGAAAAATATTTCATAAGTGTTTTGCTAAACTGTGCTCCCCTAGCAGAATCTGGATTTTCTGCTCTATAAAATAGATATTCTAAACCTATCCATATACTAAATTGGGTCAAAATCCCGTAGAGATTGTGGAGAAGGGATTGGTCCTCCCTGGACATGCCCTGTATTGTTGCTACAGCTGAAGCTGGTTTTTGGGTCCCCAAAGCAGAGGGATCCTCCTGGACCAGAGATGGTTCGGGAGCATTTAGCTGGAGTTCAGGGGCATTTAGCTGGAGTTAAAGGGACTGGGGATGGAGTTTGTCTTAACAGGGAAGAAGTTGTGAATTTTTCAGCTGCGTACCCATTGGGATTATTATGGACTTTGCTTGAGGCACGCTTAAACAGAGAGCACAACTTAATCATTGTGACAAGCAGGCTTGACATTGTTGTCAAGCAGGCTAAAATGTGCTCCTTTCTTATAAGAAACCCCCAAATTAATATACGCTAAACTTCCTTGAGGAATTACTGCGTAGTAGCTGATATTTAAATTCTGCTATATAATCTGTTGCTGAATTAAAATACTACAGCTCAGGGCTGCTTTTTTTTAATGTAGCTAAGATTATCATTTATGTGCTTTCACTCTTTTCAAAGTTCTTTAGATGTATACATTGATAATATCTTGATAATGTTGCCCTATTGGGGATGCATAGGGATGTCTGTGTGTATATGTGCCTGTGGTTGTTCTCTTCCTTTATTTCAGACTTCAGAAGGTTTCTGTCGCACTTGGTCACTTAGGGCCTGTGCTGTGAAATGCACCAGTGTCTTAACAGCGTCTGTTCTCTCTTCTATAGTGTTTTGTTTTGCCTAAAGAAAGTGCAGGAGAAATGAAAGGCAGTGCTTGATTGCTGCTTTTAGTAAATCTTCTTCCCAGTTAAATGAAACGAAAAGGGATTGGTAGATGTGTTTAGAGAATTTAAAATATTAATTATAATGTTATATAAGATTTGGGTAATGCTGAGAAATCCCTGGGAGTCCAGTGTTGGTAGTTAACGAGCTACCAAAATACAACGTGCTCTCTGCTGGGATGACAAAAACACTAGTACTTGTGAGGGTAATACAAGTACTAAAGATTTTAATTCATTTTAGCAGTTCTGTGACTTGATTTACCTCTTTTTGTTCTATTTTATTCTCCCTGAATTTTTCATGGAAATGAATGAGTACAGGATTAGTGCTTTAAAGCTCATGATCTGAGTTTATTATGGAGAAAATATCTGTGAAACTCCATCTACCAGACGGAGGGGGGCGGGGGTAGAAGATGAATGATGCCCTATTTTCATCTAAAATTTATTAAAGGGCCCGGGTGTTTTTGCGGTTGAAGGTGTGGGCCCAGCATCCTCCTTTTAGGATCAGCCTAGTGTCTGAGTTGCCAGACACCCCAGCCGGAACGTGCTCAAAACGACGGCTGCACGAGCGCTGCGGCCTGATGCGCCCTCCGCGCCAGCAGCGTGGCCGCTGCTGAATGCTGCCTAATGTACCGAATACAGGGGCTTATCATCATTATTTTTATTTCTTCTGGTAACTTTTCACACACATCTCTGCTGCCGTTCCCGACGGGAGCTCGGGAGACGTATGCCGAGCCGCTGTACCGGTGGAGCGCGCGGGGCGGCCAAGGCTGGGCTACCTGTCCCGGCGCTGCCGCTCGCTGCGCGTCAGCGGGGACAAAACCGCCCTCCACGGTCACTGACAGAGCGACTGAAACGGCCCTTCAGGCTTCATTGAGCTGCGCTCGGCTCTGCTGGGAACTGAAGCCTGGTTTGAAAATGAAAAGACTTTAATGAGCTGGGGGTCTTTATGGGGCTGGTATTCTTGGCAGCGATTAACAGGAGGGGGCCTACAGCAGGTCAAAAGCTCTCCTTTTGAGGGGTCAGCAGAACATCCCCGGCTGATAAGATTAAACTAATGTGGCTTCTGGTGTTAATATCTAAAGCAGCAGGCTGCTGTAATGTGTTTGGGATGGCAGGCACTGGGGGAAACATCCACAACACTGATTCATTGTAAAAGGAAATGTCAGGTGATTCCAGCACAAAATACTTGGCTTTCTTGTTTGTTTGTTTGCTCTTGTTTTAAGAGAGATTTGAAATAGCTTTGTTCAAGAAGACAGACAACACTTTTCCAGCATTAGGTGTAATCTACTGCTGCATAAATACCAGCCTTGTATTTTACCTTGAGGCATTGTTTTTATTCGAATTTGCTTTTTCCTCTATGCTTTCTGTACTTAAATAGGCATTAACTATGTCCTAGTCTCCTATGTTACTCAAGCTTTGTGAATGTATTTCAGTTCTCAGATTACTTTACTGGATATTTCAATGGACAGTACTGGCTTTGGTGGATATTTCTTGTACTCGGTAAGTGGCAATTGAAAACATAAATGTTTTTATGTGGAAGTAATTCAAAGTCATAGTACTTAAACATATTTATCTGTATGCTTTTCCTAAGCTGTTGTTAGCTATTTATTCTGTTCTTATTTCCTTCGCATTCAGCAGATATTGATCACTGTCACACTGCATGGACTGCAGGCTGTTTGGGTGACCTTCAACGCCCTTTTTTCATTCTGCACATATAATTATATACATTGTTTGAGGCTTGTGATTTGTGGGTATTTTTTTCACAAACAGTGCAAAGCAGTTGTACACAACTGTTTTGAGAAACCCCTAGGCTTTATGTGGGAAAAATAGTGGAAGCAGGGGGGATACCTAATGAATATATATTGAAGCTTGTGTGTCAAGTCTTGCATTTCAAGAGATGCGGCCGCCCCAAGGAAGGTAGAGGCTGTTGTCTTGTCCACAGGTCATGGAATGCCCTTTTCTCACGGAATGCCCTTTGGGAGGCCCCGGGCAGGGTGGGGGCTTCATGCCCGCTGATCACAGAAACGCCTCCGTGAAAGCGCCTCCCTGCGCCGGCTCGCAGCGCGGCGCGCTGCTGGCCCCGTCCTGCTGCTTTGCAGTTATGGTACCCGCTCCCCAGCGGGCTGAGGGAGGCCCTGAGGCCTCGAGCGCGGAGGCCGAGGGGCCGGGACGAAGGCCCCGCTCGGCGCTCTCCGTAGGGCTGCGCTTCAGTAGGTGGCAGTGTCGCCTTCGGGACCAGCCAGCGAGGAAGGCCGAGGGCATGGCAGAGCTCAAACCCGCTCTGTGCCTGCTAAAGGCTTCGGCATTGCTTGTGCACAAGGGGCAAACTTGCCTGGGTGTTTCCCCGTCCTCCTTTTCCTAATGCTCGCGGGCACTTCCCGGAGGCTCCTTCCTGCTTGGCTGGTGTGTGCCCTGCGCAACGGGACAGGGCTCGGCGGGGCCCGACCCMCCGGCGCCGCCGCTCCCAGCTGCAGCGGCCGCATTCGAGCAGCAAGTGATGTGACTGCCTGCACGTACAAACCTCCCCAGATACACTTCTTTAAAAAGTAAAAAAAAAAATAAAAATAAAAATAAATTTAAAAAAATAAAAAAATAAAGTAAAATCAAAAGTAAATCCACTACAGTAAAATGCAGTTTCAGGCACCACGACAGGCTTAACGTTTCCACTTTTATAAAAGCAGCGTGTCCTTCTCCTAACATCTTCCTCCATCCTGTCTGTCAGAGCTGTGTGTTTGTAGTCCCTCTTTTTACCAGCCCCCTGGGCCGCTTGGCTCCTTCAGAAGTTAGGCTGCTTGTATTTAGGAAAGCCTTATTTTTTCAGCCTTGCCTATTTGAAGATTTTTTTTCTTTTATGTCAACTCACCAATCTTATAATATGCCTTGGAGTGAAAGGCATCAACAGGGTACGTTTATTATGTGCAATGTGCCATTCCCTTGCTTCTGAACATTTTGGTTGAAATATGCAATTGCTGAAGGAAGCAAATGCGCTGAGAGATTACAAGAATGTTACAGAAGGATTTACCCCCATAGAACTGCTTCATAGGTCATGAAAGAAATAAATTATTGTCAAGTCATGGGGGTTCTGCCTAACAGATTTTTGTCTCAGTGTTTCAGACAAGTTGCCAACTGGAAGAGGCTAAGTAGTATATCCTGTATTTCTTAAAAATGAATAAACTGTATTTTGTTTCTTTGTCCTTTGGATAGCCCATTGACATACTTGAGCACCTTGTTGTCAGCCTTTTTCTCTGATTATGTTCACATATCTTGTTTCTGCTCCCATCTTCTTCTGAGACTATAGATAGCTCTATGGAGAAGTGGAAAGTTTACTTAGGATGTAAAAGAAAATAAAGGAATCTTTAGCTTAGGGTTAATTTAGCTTAACAAGATTTTCATTTGAGCCTTTGGCATCAGTTATGTGCATACATACATTTGCCTTCGAGCCCTGCCCATGAGGATTAAAGTGCACATGAACCTAATTCCTACATAGTGATGCACATGGTATTGAGTTAGGCAGTTCAGAGTCATATAGGGTTAACTTCACTTTCTGAGAAGCAAAGATGGTCCTGAAGAGGTGTAGTGAATAGAGCTTAAGCCTAGGCTTTCCCAGTCTGGATCAAAATGAGATTTAATCTTAGCTGGGGTCTGTCTTTCTGTAAGAGCCCATGCTGAACATATGTGCTGTTAGAAAGTACGAGGGTTTATTGTGCCGACATGTAAGTCAATCTTGAACTGTTACAAGTTTTAAAAGAAAGAACACAGACCTTAATGTTTATTTTTTAAAAACACTTAACACCCTAAACCTCTTCTACTTTCCTGATGTATATCAAAATTCAAAATGGTCAAGTGGATAGCATAATATTTCTAATTTGATAGAAACTAAGGCATATTCTTCTCATGGCCTTGAAGATATAAGAATTGGTTTTCTGTGCCTGAGACCCTGGCAGCAGGGCCTGGCTAAGCTGCAGCGGGGAGAGGACGTCATTGCAGCAGCACACATGTGTTCTAGGGTGAAAAGAAGGTCCCTTTGACCTCCATGAATCACAGAATGGTTGAGGTTGGAAGGGACCTCTAGAGATCACCTAGTCCAACCCGCTGCTCCAGCAGGGACACCCAGAGCACGGGGCACAGGGCGGCATCCAAGTGAGTTGGGAAGATCTCCAGAGAAGGAGACTCCACAGCCTCCCTGCGCAGCCTGTTCCAAGGCTCTGGCACCATCACAGGAAAGAAGTTCTTCCTCACCTGGAGATGGAACTGCCTGTGTTTCGATTTGTACTCATTGTCTCTTGTCCTGTCACTGGCCACCACTGAAAAGAGTTTGGCCCTTTCCTCCCTGCATTCTCCCCTCAGGTACTTGTACGTATTGATCAGATCCTCTCTCAGCCTTCTCCWCCCCAGGCTGAACAGGTCCAGCTCACTCAGTCTTTCCTCCTATGATAGATGCTTTGGTCCCTTCATTATCTTTATGGCTATGTGAAATACGCACGCAGCTTTCTGGGCAGATTAGTCCTGGCAACAGCAACACATCTGCTGAAGCTTGCTCAGCAAAAGAAGAACAGAGCTAAGAGGTGTCTCCCCTCTGCAACCTCAGGGTATGTGGGGGTGCCTTCCACTCCCCAATGTTTGTTCAGTACCCAGCGAATCTCGTAGCGGGTAGGAGGAGGTTAGCAGAGTATGTGAGCAATATCCTTTGTCATAACAGTAGCTCCTGGGTGACAATTCTGTAGATCTTGTTCTTGTTCAGTAAATTCTTGTTCAGTAAAGCACTAGAGCTGAAAAATTCTTTCAAATATGGCCAAATGCAGTTATTTAAAAATCATTTAAAATGTGGACGTGAGTGTAATAAATGTAGTTATAAGAACTATTATGAGTAATCTTCAAATTAACTAATCATTTTCCTCCATATAGGACAGGTACATTTTCCTGGATGGCTAAATTTCATGCCATCAACAACCATAACTTGATACTGGTTTGGTGCTGGAACAATCACTGCTTTCGTGTTTCTCCTTTTTTTTTTTTTTTTTTGTTTTCCCTTTGGTTTACCATACATTCATGATTTAAACATTTCCAAAGTCCTTGGAACTTGGGGTTCAGGCACTCTTCTTACAAAGTAATGACTTCTTATAACTTCTAAAAATTTTACTTGATAGTAACATGCACTTATTTTTAGAACACTTACTCATTTCTAGTAACTTTTTTCACATAATCCTTTAAGTGGGAGCTAAACAAATCCAAAATGAGTGCCAAAAGTTATGCAAGCTAAACCTGTAAGCTAAAAGTAGAACCCTTGCCTGTTGAACTTGTTTGTCAAATGCATATGGGCTTTGCTGAGGGTTTTTTTTTTTTTTTTTTTTTTTTTTTTTTATTATTAAGGTAACCTTTAGTAGTCCGGTTATATACTGCAAGTTGTTGTGTACTTTGATGTGTTGCTGTACTTCATTTTGTGCATTTCTGACATTTTCAGGACTCCTCCTGTTCTTTCGAGGATTTGTCAATTATCTTAAAGTCAGAAATATGTCTGAAAGCATGGCAGCTGCTCATAGGACAAGATTTTTTTTCTTGTATTGAAGGTAAGCAGTTTTTAGCAATGAGAGCATTGCCAGAAAACTCTGAGAAGCAGACTTAAATATAAACATTAAAAACTCAATCTCCGCAAAACAGGAATTTCCAAAGATCTGTCATGGATATCACGTATGTTCTATGCATACATGCTTGCAAATACCTAGGATATCTTGAAATCACATAGTTGAAAGCAACCCTGTCTCGTCGTGCCACCCCAGTCCTCGCGGGAGCTGACGCTCAGAGGGAAAGGGCCATGAAGCCCCTCGTTCCCCTGAAGCAGGAACCCGTGTCTGCTCCCTGCCTTTATGTGGGGAGTTAAGAGTCAACCTGCTGTCAGCAAGCTAGGAAGCAGTGATCTGCCTGCATATTAAATCTGATTAACATGGGTCTCAACACGCAAACAATAGGTAAGTATTGCCTCTCTTGACATGCCAGTCTTAAGATAGTCGTGTACAAGGATGATTATTGTGCATCCAACAATGTGCTTTATATAGCCTTCAGGTAGCTCACTAATCAGGCTGGCACAGAGCTACTCTTCATTTTTTATTCTTTTTATCCATTAGGTGGATCTGTTGGGCTTCACTGTGTAGCTTAAAGTAGGGGGTCTCAGGAGTATTTAACTTTTTTTACCTTACCTGCATGACTGGATCCTTTAAATCCACAAACAAGTGCTGTCGCATCTTCACCACCCTGCAATTTATTTGTAATATTTAAATGATATATTTGGATTATCTGAGAAGCTGTATTTACTATAATAATACTACAAATTTTCTTTTTTTTTTTTTTTTTTTTTTCTCCTTTTTTTTTTTTTTTTTTTTTCTCCAAGAATGGTAACAGGATCAAAGGAAAGTTGCCAGCAACATTATTGGAAATAATTATTTGTCTGACACAAAAAATGACACAGTGTTTACCTAGAAAGGATGCTCCCTTTTATTTAAGACAATAATAAACATTTAAAGAAATGGCTACTAATAAATATGGAAACTCAGTACTGATAGCTTAACATTCTTGCTCATGGAATAAAACTGTGAAAATAGCTATAATGTAATATTTTTATTCTGTACCATTTTGCCAAGACTGTGCTGTAAGATCAAGTGTTGAATACCAGAATTATGTTGCCTTTTAGTCACCAGCCTAAACTGGTGCTTGCAGTGCAGTGTTTCCCTCTCACAGCAGTAATGTATCTTTCTTGCATTTTCTTAGTGTATCCTCTGTCATCAGAATAAATAGAGACTGCACACAAACATATATATATCCATCTAAACGTTAGCTTTGATGATAATGAAGCTGGGACTATAAATATATGGCCTTAAACTTAGCTATTGGGCCTAACTGACATTTGAAAACTGAAACTGGGAGAGATTATGAGAATGTGTGATGTTGCAGTCTGTGACTTATTTTATTTTTTTTTATTTTTGTTATACTCCTGGAGTTAAAATCCCATTTTGTTCACTGATTCACTGTTAAGTGAAGCTAATGAGTTGTCCCATCTGACTTGGTCCTTTAGCTAAAAGCTTTTCTCATCACTGTGCCAGCTGGGAGGACAAGATTTGGACAAGCTCTTTAGATGGCTGGACACTTCAATATTCCCTTAGTATAAAATATAAACAAGAAATGTAAACAAGAAAGTTCCATTGACTTTGTTTTTCTGAAGACAGATAAGTCCCGTTCAATAACTGTTAATTTTATTAATTAAATAGCAAATGTTACCTCTAAAATGGTAAACTATTTGCAAGTGTTTCTTTCAGTCAGTAACTTTGAGAAAATAATAATAAAGTGCTCGCTTTCTTCTGCCATCCTGACTTAGCAAGGCCTGGGGGAGGGAAGCTGCTTTTTTACTGCTCCTAGTTCTCAGCTCAGCCAGCAGCGCTGCTTGTAGCTGATCAACCAGTCCAACTGTCCAGTTTGTCCAACTGTCCAATTTGTCCAACTGAAGGACAAATCTCTTCTTTTTGTATCTCCAGACCGCATCGAACAGACATTCCTTTCCCACACCAGTGCGAAATTTCCAGATGATCTGTAACTCTCCAAGTTAATAGGATAGAAGCCTACTAAAAGAAGACAAATTAGTGAAGATACAGCTGCAGATAGGAATGAAAGGATGGTCTACGGTGCACGTGGCGGTTCTGGCCATTCTAGTAAATATTTCTGATTACTGCCTTTTCTTTCAGCACATTTGCGTACATGCTTCGAGGATAGCATTGAAATAAGAGCAAATCCTCTGTTAGTATAGATTCAGTAGAGCCAGACTTGGTTAATCTGCGCTTCTTTTATCTGAAAGATTTAAGTGGTAATCTGTTTTACAGCATATATGTATAGACCTGGAGTTTGGGTAAAAATGGAATGCATCAAATGGTTCAGATTAACCACAAGAGACACAAAATTTTAATGTAATTTAAATCCATCTCAATTGTGTAGAACTCTTTAAGTTTACTGAAACCTGAAGTTCCTTGTTCTCACCAGCTTGTTTTCATCAACACTTTATGGAATTCAAACCAATATACTGGTTTGCTTAAAGTTGATTCTTCCCTTTGAGTCCACTGTAAATAACTCTGCATAAATGACTGTTTAAATCGCTTCTTAGGAAATAAGTCAAAATATATTTTGTAACAGCATATTCTCTAAATTATGTTTAATCTTCATATGAGCTACCTATATTTTTGTTGTTGTTGTTGATATGGCTATTGAGGCAATAGTTACTGCTAGGTAGAATTTTGGATGTAAAGGCATCAAATTGTTTCATCCTAAGTTTGCTCACGTTCATTTCCATTAACTGGTTTTAGCCTGAACTGGAATGTCCTTATTCATGAGCATAATCCTGTTAAAAGATGATATTTATTCCTGTTAGCAGACATGGGCAGCTGCATATCCTCAGTCCATGGTTATGCAGTTGGATCCCTGTAGGTTCAGCTTTGTTCCTAACACAGGGTATTGCATATGTGTTCCCTGGTTTATAAACACCGGGTTTATTTAAAAATCTTGAGCTCGATACAAATACAGCGTCCTCTTGGAGGGTCTTCCAAAAAAAATTTCATGCAGGTATCTTGCCATCTTTCTTTATCATTTCATAACAATGAACTGGTTTAAATTCCAAGGTCATTTTGGAAATAACCTAAGTGGAAAAAAAAAAAAGATGTATTTTTAAGACTCTGAAAGTTTTAACAAATAATCTCTCATTATTAAAAGTCTCATTACTTTCTTAAAAATATCATCTCTTAAGGGGTCTTCTTGTCCATGCACATTGAAGTTCCTTCAGTTTTTGTGAAATGCTTTTTTATGCTTCTTCCTCAGTAGGAGAATACATCTCGCAATCCTTTGTACAACTGGAATCTCAGTTGCAAAACACAGTAGTTATTGGGTGCACCTTTGGGGGAGAAAGATGCAGATAATTTCCTCCATTTTTTTTCTTTTTATAAAATTCTGTTTTTTTATTACTAACATTAAAAATGAGGAGGTTTATGTTGTCATTAAGCTAGTGCTGTATTAAATTTTGTATCTATAATGTTTAAAAACACATATAATCTGCGCACGTTATTCATTTTCTTAGTCTTTCAGGGATATTGAAAGTGATTCTAGACTAACTTAAGGGGCACCTCCACTTCTCAGCTTTTTATGGGGAAAAAAGAAGTTCAGTGTTATGTTCAGTATCTGATTGGAATCTCCCTCTATACTTATCTGTTCTTTTTCTATGTTCTTTTGCATTCATTGTCCTTATGAAAAGAAGCAAATAATAAAACATGGCTTTGTTTTGCTAATCGAGCCTTCTGCTTTTTGTTGTTGTGCACTTCACCCTGAAAACTCCCCAGGGCGAGAGTGGTGCTCACGTGGAGTTACAAGCACATCGGCTATACGGATACCAACCAACCTTCCGTTGCCTTTTCCTTTCCATCCAGTGTTTTATTGGAGCACACTGTAAGGACGTTTCACCTGATCAGTTGATGCAAGTGCCAGCCATGCAGTGTTGACTCCTTTTCTGTATTTACCACTGTCTATTTTCCAGCTGTGTGATTTTTTCCCAGATTGAATAACCATCTTCAAGTTGATCTGTTTCCATTTACTCCTCCAAAACTTTGCAGGACGCTTCATCCAGACACTTGAGGGTCCTTTCCTTTGTTTTTTTTTTTTTTTTTTTTTTTTCCTGGGCTAGCATAGAAGTTGTTGTCTTCAGGCAGAATATGTAGGGTTAAAAATGTCCATGTTATCTAATCCTTTATAGTTGATGCAGCAGTTTAGTAGCCTGAAATCTCATCAGCAGGAGGAAGGGAATTGGGACACTGTTTTCAAAGGCTGTGCAATCTATTCCAGATGTGTCAAATGCTGCATATTTTCCTTGCTATTTCCTGTGAGTTTGGTTGAGGAGCAGCTGGCTCTGTGGTTTAGAGACACCTGGCCAGCTTTGCTTTGTGTGCTGCTTGGAAAGCAGGAGGGAAAGAAGAGAGGGGGGAAAACAGGCAAAGTTCCCCTTCCTCCCCCTTAGACCCTACTCCAGTACAGGGGGAGTTGCCTGTAAACAGATTTCGTATGAATGCGGATAAAACCCTGAAGCTTGGAGGGAAGTGACCGAGGGGAAGTCCGTTTATTCTGCATAACCTGCATGAATTGAATGTGTTGCAAGAATCCTGGAGCTCTCCTGGTCTGCTCTCGTTGATCAGGACACCACAGGAAGAGAGGGGCGTCTTGAATGTGGTTCAAGTCGTCTGCAGCTCTACTAACTCGTTTTGGAAATGACCCATCGCTAACTATTTCCGTGCACAAGAGGAGAGAAGGTTGTCTCCAAGCTCCCACTTTGTCTCACCTGGCCTAGGGATGTAAAACCCTCATCCTGTAAAACCCTTAGCCTTGTTTTAACCTTCTGCTCTTGTGGGGCTCCACTGCCTTCCTGGTGGATGACGGAAGAGGCAGGTGGGGAAGCGGTTTTGTTAATGTGCTAGCCTAACACAAGCTCGCTTTTATCCATCTTCCACATGCAGAGTGAGTTCTCCCCTACTATCCTGTGCCAGTCCCTCATGAGAGGTGATTGGCCTTGTTCCCTGGCGAGCTCATTGCATGAGGCTGCTATCACCTCTTGGGCTTTGGAAGAGAACATAGTTAATCTCTACTCTTGGGTATAGCAATCCGTGAACATGGAAGAAGAGGCCAAATTACCTTAAAAGGTGGTTAGGACACTCACAACAGACCAGTCCAACATATGGTACGTGTTGAGGGGTTCCCCAGGTTCCTCCCTTTGATCGTCATCCTTTCCCTCTGAAAGTCCCAGGAGGCTTCTACCCCTTGTGCCTTCTCCGCTTGCGTATTCCTTCCTTTCACGTCCCTCCTCCTTTCCCCGCGTTCGTGTGGGGCGCTCAGCACACCGGTCACTTGCCCTCCGTCACATCCCGCAGCCCTGCTCCCGCAGGTGCTCGTCCCTGTCTTGTCAGGTGAGTCCAGGTACCACCACCGTAACGTCCAAATGCCCGGGTTCGGGTGAAACAAACTGCTCCTGACCAAGTTTATTAGGAAAATTAAAGTAATTATGAAGTAAACTGCACCTGAACCTGTTCCTCAAGTTAATGGCTTAGTGTAATTGCAGCTACATTGCTGCTAATAAATATTCTGCTCTTTCCATTAGCGTGTCATAAGTCCTCCTGGGCTCCTACTGGGCTGAGAGCTCTCAGGTGGGAGCCCTCTCCTGGATTCTGGAGTTTTGGATGTACTTTCTGTTGATGTTGACTTTGTTGCTTGACAAATTTGACAATTTGAAGTTTCAGATGTACTTTCGGTTGAGGTATTTGAGTGAAGTCTGCAGATGTCCCTGGAGATGTTACTGGACTGGTGCTGGTGCCATGGTGTGACTGTCAGCGTGAGGGCCTGCAGGACTCCTCGTCTCCAACCACCTGCTTCTGCACTGGACAAAATGCCTTGCGTTTTTCCAAAACTCTTGTGAAAGCAGATTTTAGACTTAAAATAGGAGGAATTGTATTTGGTAGCTCAACTTTATTCTTTCCAGAACAGCAGTGAACTTGTGAGGAGAGCCCTGGCCTTTCACTTATGCAGAACACTGGAAATCATTTTTCCATGTTACATTGAGAAGCCAAATACTGCTATATTTACCTGAAATAGCAATTAAGTATAACTTTAGACAGTTACTTTTTTGAATATAGTCTGACGCTGTGATTAGAGAAAAGAAGAAAACAATATATGTTTTATAAATTATGGACAGTCAATTATAATGTTACTTCTCTTTGAATTCTGAAGTGCTGCTGTTTTTCCCTTGTGGAGTCAAGTTTTATGGCTGTTGGTGCCTTTATTTATTTATAGGAAACTCAGAGCACATGTGCCAGTTCTGCTGTTACTCCTTGTAGCATGAGTGCATGTTAAAAACAAATATTATAAGTATAATCCCATGGCTAAGTGTTAAGTGTTCACATTGGGGAGAGCCGGGACCATTCGTGAAATCTGCCTGGAGGTCGAGCGAACTTGCGGGACTCGGTTGGTTGCTCATTGCTCAGCTCAGGTCTGTGCTTAACTCCTTGCTGATAAGGATTAGTGAGTATTGCAGGGTGCTCTGGACGGGTCCGAGGATCCACCAAAACTGCTGCATCCTCTTTTATTGTATCTTGAGCACAGATTTACTGATGGGGGCACGGACGGGAGACAAGGCAAGAAGGTGCTTGGACGTTTAACTTGGCTTGTGCAGCAGCTGCTTTAGCGGGTGCTGCCAGCCCTACCTTGCAGGCGCCTCTGGGAGCATCGGTCCCTTTCTCCAGAGGAAGCCAGGCCCTTTTGCCCACATACTTAATCCATGGCAATAGCCCTTGGATTAGGGAATAGCCACTTTCTGGAGATAACTCCTGAAACAGCAAATTCTTCTCCACGTGGACAGAGAGAAGGACGTTGGTGCCGATATATGCATCAGCACTTGCTAATAATCTTACTGGATGCTTTCTACAGGCATCCAGTGATTTGTGACTGGTTTCTTGCTAACTGCTATTCTGCTTACCCTGATCAGACTCTACACAGGGATGTTGTGAAGTGGGGGCATTTCTTAAGACTGGGTATATGTGGAAACTTAACCAGTCCAGTGTGGTGCTTCATGCCCAGCTCTTGCTTTCCCCAATTCTTTTGAAGAGCTGTAATGCAGAGAAAAATCTTTGGTTTTGACTATATGCTCTGTAGCGTAAACTAAAAAATGAATAATATTAGAATGTGGAAAGCTTTGATGCAAAAGCAGATATATTGCTCTTCATTTGACTTTTGCTTCCAGAATCAAAGAACTTGGAAATAACTCCATAGTTTGCTGTCAGTAAATGTTAAACAAAACATTTGCTGCATGTCCGTTGTTATTTCCCTGTGGCTTTTATAAGCCCTTTCTCATGATGATAGTCTGGCTGTATATGTACTATATATATAGAATTTGATCTGTATCTGTGGCACATACCTATAAAGTGACACACGGTATCCTACATATATGCCATATACATTTCTTCTACAGTGACATCAAGAGGAAAGATGATATGCATTAAAACACAACATCAGCTGGTAAGATGCAGTGAGCACGAGATGTTTGCTGCTTTTTTCCTCCACTTTTTTCCATTCTGGTCTCTCTGAGGCCCCGCGTTAACCCTTGTGCAGTGCCAGAGCTGCACATGGCAGCTCCACATCTTTTTTAGATCTTCTAATTACAGAGCTGTGCCGCAGAAGTGATTAGGCRCCTAGTGCATATAATTTTATCCAGATTGGGGGTTTACCAAACAGATACGGTGGAATCGGTTAGTGTTAGTGCCCTTAATTAGTTCAAAATAGATTTGCCCTTCAAATGAAAATTACCATACAATTAAACTACCTCTGGATAATTGAGAATTGTCTTGGTAATGAATCAAGCAATGCCACAGGCACTGGTTCTGCTGGGCTGCCAGCTCTGTAATCGGCCGTTTAGTTGTGGCAACGACGTGTCAGAGACCACTGATCCAGRTTTGAGTGTGGAAATAGTATAGCTGCCCCTATATGTCATGATACTGAGCTGAGAAGCCCTCTGCAGCAGAACTATCTGCATACGGAGCAATCCGAATTTCCTGGGGTATCTCTCTGGAGTCAGGACTTCTGGGAAATACTGGTTCCAGAATTCCAGTGTGGAACCACCTTGGGCCTGGCATGGTGGGTTCCAGCTCAGGTTGCCTGTGCTAGGTCAGACTCAAGCCTTTGCCTTTGAGTGTCAGCATGATGCTTTTCAGCACATTTTAAATATCCCTACTGGTTAGATTTTCCACGGGGAGAAGAGGGGTGATAGTGACAAATGAGTAACAAACTGCTCTATGTCCCAATTTAAAAATGAGCTCGGGAACGTGGATGTGCTCCTCAGGTATGTAGTGGGTAGATGTCCAATTTGAGACACTCTCAGGTTTGCTTCTATGTTCAAAGGAAAACGCAGTCTCCTTCTCTGAGTATCCTAGCTCCTCACTGAGTGCTATAGCTGGGTATCCTCTCATCTGCTTTTCCTTGGATCAATGATTCCTGCCTTCACCGAGTCGGTCATTCGGATCGGAAGAGGCCACCGGAGGTCATCTCGTGCAGAGTCCTGTTCAGCGCGGGGCCACATGCTGCATT